ACAGGCACAAAGTAGTTTTTAGTGAGGGATGCAATACAAAATTGTACTTACAAAGGTGCAACTAAATATCCATCAATTAAATTGCAATTGTATAAAATTGGGCTGAAAAATGCTAAAGCCAATTTTCAGCATTGTTGTGCTTAAGTAGCTTTTACAGACTCGCTCCTGTGTTTTGCAAATGAAACATGATAAGAAGTTAGCAAAAAAAAAGCCACCGAGAAGGAGAAACACCTGTTTTATTTTTGCTGATTATGACTCCAAGTCACTTCAAATTAACCTGTAATTAATGTTCATGAGCTTGAATGACAAATAGAGGGATTGCGTGTCACCCACTGAAGATGACCAGTGAGACTGCTTCATGCTTGATTTCATCCTCTATCCATTTTCAAATCCATCCAGTTGTTAATATTACAATAATCTCACATGTAGTAACACCATGTTCCTCATAAGCATAAGTTATCAGATGAAATATGCCTGAGGTGTTTTTGCTTTTCCTCTCATCAGGCTGCGGGTAAAAACCAACCATAGAGAGAAAAGCCAATGAAACAGGAGTAGAAAGATGCCCATGTGTGCTGATTATGGATCCAGTCAGAGTTGAGGCCTTTTGAAGCCCGTCATTGGTGCGTTACCGGTGTTACGTTTTTAGGAGATTCTCTCCATTAGGATGGAGCCACGGGGACACGTGCCACTGATTTCACACACACCACTGAATGTTTTCAGGAAGTAACCGTTTCCTCGGCTCTGTAGTTTTAACAGGGATCGGTAATAGGAGCTATTTTACCGTATTATGAGGGAAAAATGGAGGCAGCTGTGCAGTAGCTGCTACAGCCTGATGCAACCGGCAGCAAAATCCTCCTAAATGGTCATATTTAGTCCCAACATGAATCCAGCTAAACCACTCTCCCGTTTTGATGGATTGTAAGCACAAAAGCATCTCAGGTTTGATTGAAATGCCCTCGATTTCAATCTCCTTCTACTCAATCAGCATGACTTTGACTGTCATGGTTACAAAGACATACAGGGTTATGGTGAATGCTATTCGTATGTATACAGTATTTCCATTTGTGGTTGTTTGTCTCTGGACTGGCTCCCTGCCTATTGCCAAATGGTAAAAAATATATGTGGTATTCATTGTGCTGTTACTGTTTTGGCAAAAAAAAAAGTAAAATGTAAAAATGACAGCAGTATTATTTATTTTTTTCCACTTATTTCTTTTACAATGGATAACCGTTGAATGCACGAATCCCACTGCTGAGTCACCTCTTCTTTTATTGCCGCACACTGGTGGCCCACTAACTGTCATGCCCATTTGAAGAGTGGAGTATTTTGAAAACCATTAGGTTCAGTAAAAATGAAGGAAACCAGTAAACGGGAACAGTTTTCTCAATGATGGCAGCACGAGCCTGTAAATCTGAGAAATGTAGGTGAAAACAATGGAAGTGTTTGTGTGAATGGATGAAACCAAGATAAGATGGGAAATAGTATTCACTGTTGTGGATAAAAAAACAAAACAAATTGGTTTCCTCACAAAGTCTTATTCAATGCGTTATTATATGAATGGCTTCTTTGTCCACAGGGGAACAATTATAGATGTAGTTTTAGATGCAGCATCAGTCACTCTTTGTCATGCAGACCTCTGCGGTGCTCGTGCACGGTAAAGGCTGCCATTCATCTTTTCTAAGCCGCTCGATTGGCCGTGAGGCCTTATTTTCATTTTGTTGCAAGATTAACCGAGACAGTGAGAATTCAAAAGTCAATAGAAACAACCATCATAAAGCTATTTGTTTACGGTTATTCACAGGTTTAAAGGGATTGAAAAATAGAGGAAATAACAGGATTTCCTGTCAAACCTTTGTGAGACGAGGCTGTACTGGCAAGGAACCAAGCACACATGGCTAAAGTCAACTTAATGCTAATGTTAGCCCTTCACTCACATTCTTCATCAGATGCAAATGAAGATGCCCGGGCGCTCAATTAGAGTAGAGCAAAAACATTCCTGTCAATTTTGCAGATATTAGTTTTAGTTTGAATTCATCAACATCGAAAGGGATAAGTAAAGACAAAAGGCCAAAAATATACGAGTGTTCTTCTATGCAAAGACAAACCCCCTGCAGACATCGAGGGCAAGCAAGCTGGCAGGAATATATCACAGCTCCAGCCAGGCGGTGGAGGTGTATTTCACACTCAAGGAGGGGCCTGGTCCGGGGGTCATTAATCTGCTGAAGACGAGCGCTCTGGCCTGGGGCAGCCCAGGTAAACAGGAGCCGACTGGCCCCGGGCCACAAGCCTACAACTCTTAATAGTCTTGTTGTGTTCTCAGTTGTTAAATGGTAGGGACCTGCTGCCATTGAGCGAAAATGGAGGCAAACACCAGCCAAAACCCACAGTTCAGCGCACAGGGACGGTGGCCATCTCTGAGCTGAGCTGAGCTGGATCTGGAGAGAGAGATAAAGCTGCAGAGGGAAGAGTCCAGGCTGTGGGCAAGAGGCCCAGAAGAAAAGCAGATGCTGTTGTCTGGTCACTCTATCTTTATAAATCACATCTGTTTAAAACCTCCATATACATTTTATTTATTTATTTATTTTTTTACAGATTGAAAATTTTAAACAGATATTTATGATCGGTCTGGATTCAGCATGCACAGTAGAGGCCATACCTGAGCCAGATCCTATAGAGAAAGAAAAAAGGAAGAAGCTTTATTGAAGTACATACTGAACAATATACGGCCTCTGCCAACCCAAGGCTGTTACAAATAATGAGTTGACTTTCAGTATCGAAGTCAATTTAATTATCTATAGATAAACCGTATAATGAGCATTTTGTACGAGTCATAGACAGAGGAAAATAACTGCAATGTGAACAATGTCTATTGGCATCAACTTCTGACTTTTACATGATCTTCCTCTATCTCTCATGCACATCGTATATATAAATATATATATATTCAAGAGATCATGATAAGTAGCAGGTAAAGTATCTGGAGATGTGGTTGGACTCATCCATGTATAGAAGACATTATACGTGACAAATATCCAGAATCCCCAGAGCTGCAGCTCTTGTAAAATGGACTGATCATGGAAAAGCTATTTTTTGGCCAGAGGAATTGAAATTTGAAAATGCTTTTGAGGAATCCTGGATGACCTCTGGACAGAAGAGGAGAGAAGCTGAAAAACCTTCATTTGATGGTAAAGGGGGGCTTTGGGGCTTTGGGGACTTGCACATCTGCACAGGCTTTGCAACACAAGGGCACTTTTTGATACAGCTATAAAAGTTTTAACACAATGACTGCAACCACCGAACATCTTCTAATCTTCAAATACTGTAACTGTTAGTGACGCTGTAATAATATAACCACCAGTAACCGTATATGTGACTGGAATGGACTGGAAAAAGAGATTACTTTTTGCCGCCCTGGTCTGAAAAGTCAACCTGACAAGCGAATGAATATCAATCCGTTAGGATCTCAGAAAAAAAAACAACTGTCCAAGCACTGGCTTGTCACTGCAAAGTCTCGTAACAAAGTTAAAACGGTTGAAGTGGGACATCTATGCCCCTGCTGTCATAAAAAAATATGCCTACATTGAATAGTATTCCCAAAGGATTGTGGGTAAGCCTGAGAAAAACAGGATTTGTCTCCAAGGTAATGTATCTGGGACAGTCGGAGAAGTAAAAGCTGTACAACTACTTCAAAACTCTAAAATAAATTGTTCCAAGGAACACATTTGTAACTTATTGAGATTAACTGTGGCCATTGAGGACAACCAATGCGCAATTTGACTCAGACTCATTTTTATTGCAAATGATTATATTATCAGGTATACAATTTATATGCATAAAGTCTAGCTACAAAGCCCCACACCGTAATAGCATTCTGAGTTGTACGTTTGCTGTGGCTTCATATTTTTTATTTTTTCATGTATTCTGGCTCTACTCGAGGCCTCACAGAACTTCGTGAGTTAGGCGTGCTTTCGCACTCCTCCACCTCACAGTCCATATCACGTAAACTTTCCAAAGCCAGCTCGGTTTTGGGGGTGCCTGGCCTCTGTGCTGGATGTTTGAGCGATGAATGGTGAGTCACGCACTTCAGCCGGCATAACACAGCCCAGAGCTGCCCAGCAGCTCTCAGACCAGTTAGACCACTGTCACGCACAGAAAATGCCCAAAGGAGAAAAGAGTTTACACAGGCATGCTTCAGCGCAATACCTGTAATACCTGTGATACCTGTAATACCTGTAATACCTGTAATACCTGTAATACCTGTGATACCTGTGATACCTGTAATACCTGTAATACCTGTAATACCTGTGATACCTGTAATACCTGTAATACCTGTGATACCTGTAATACCTGTAATAGGGCTAAACCACTGTTAACCCGATTCTTTAGTTGGAAACCTGAGAATAAACCAGAGTAGATCAAGAGTAAAAAATTACATTTATTGGGTCACGGGTAAAGTATTTCAGCGCTGGGCTCTTCACAGAGGAAACCTCTCTCAGGGTCTCAGTGGGCAAAGAGCCCTGAGATCTGGGGGTGATGGGTCTTTGTCTCCTAAACTGGGCACACCCCTCAAAAGGAGGACTGACACTACCAAGTCCTATTGGTTAGTTACCTCTAAGACTAACAAGCCAGGTCGCAATTCATGTTGATGACATTGGAATGTGGTACCAAATAATGTGTGTGTGTGTGTTGACATAAAGACGTGTATTTAATGCAACAGAGAAAGAAAAGAGAGAAAGAAAAGAGAGAGCAAAGAGAATCTGTGGTTACAGCCAGAGACTTCATATAGTTAAAAAAGAAATAAAACAATTAGTAATCTACATAGATCATGTGATAGCATACTATGCTAAAGTGAGTATTTATAACCAAATCCTAACACCATGGTGTCCATTCTTTTCTCAGACCCCCCCCCCCCCCCCCCTTCCCCCCTTTGGCTTAAACGATGGAGGTGTCAGTGGACTTCCACCCTCACACAGGCGCGGGCGGGGCTGGGGCTGATTTGCATGTTGAGGAGTGAGGATGTGTCTGTGCGGGTGGCAGAGGTTCTGCTGCTGACCCGGCCGTGTCGTCCGGCTGAGGAGCAGGTCAAGGGCAGGTGAGCGGTGACAGAGGCAGAAGCTCCGCTGCCTTTCTGTTAGCACCGCCCCACATTCACCCTCTGTCCTTGATCTTGTCTCTCAGAGCTGGGAAAGAAAGGAAAGAAAACAAAAGAGTGTGGAACTATTGTGTGTGTAGATTCAAAGGGACACTAACTATAAGAGCTCTGTAATGGGAGTTTAACTGCAAACAAATGAAAAGAAATGTAAAATGTAGACAAGCAGAACGTCACAAATGTAACGTTTTGGATATTGACAGGAAGAGGCTGAGAGGCTGAGGAATGACACGTTCACGGATCCGGCACTTTTTTACTTGCAAATCATATTGAATAGATTTGCATTCAGGAAGAAGTGTTTGCGGGTAATGAGGTACGTCTGGATCACGCAGCTCATTTGTATTTTTTATTTTCTAGTTGAGTGATTTGCTCATTGATGTGTTTACTTATGATTTTGGCAGTTTCCGTCCTCCACAGATTAACACACTGAATTTTGCTTCTTTAGAGTCTGGAAGAATTATTAACACCACTGATGAAATTTCCAAAGAAGTGTGACTTTTTTTTCAAGTTAAGTTTTTAGTTTCTCTTTTTTCTGCCTTTTTTTTCCTTCTGTCTTTTGTCTTGTCCTTCCTTTGTTGTGTTCCTACTCTCGTCGTCCTTTTTTCTGCTTGTGAAATGGCTGGGTTTTGTCACCGATAACAGTAACATCGTGGGCCTCCTGTACTCATGTCCAACTCAGGCCTTTGCTTTGAGCTCTTATCTGCCTTCACCCAGAGGGAGAATCCAGGAGATCGTTACTGTGATGAACTCTTAAAGATGTCTTCACAAGTCAAGTCCGAGGTACGACGGACTTTTGATGGCTTTTGTTCTCATTTACATCACATAAAGGCTCTTTTACATGATTTACCACCATTTCCACCATTAGTGACACACCACGGGCTTCATACTGACCAGAGCCTCTATCTGAAACATGTTTTTTAAAAGAAACCCAGAAGCAGTTACATCTTTTTCCTCTTTCTCAATCAAAAATGAATCGTAAAACTTGATCACTGTTTTCCGAACTTCCCTGGTAAGAAAAACCGTAAGCCTCATGTGCTCTCACACACACACACACACACACACACACACACACACACACACACAC